GCCCTGGGTTAAGTGCAGTGTAATGGCCATCTGTAATAACAAGGTAACATCTTGTACAATGTTTTCTGTGGTTCTGCATTGTAATCTTGAGTATGTAGGTTATTATACCAACTAAAACTATGAACCAATCTGAACTCTGATCTCAAATGACTAACTGTTTGCCATTTGGTGCCATCATAACATCCATTAGACGTTCACATCATCAAAAGACCTGATTCTGTGTTCCACAGGGGGTCCTCCTGACTGGAGCCATGCTGGAGGTCCTCACCTGTGGGGAGGGTGGGGCCAGCGCGCTAAATAAGATCTTGTTGGTGCCTGAGAGGCAGCGACCAGTGCTGCAGGCCTATCGCAGCACAGTGTGCGGTGGAGGGGAGGGTCAAAGGTCAGAGCGCTTCAGGCAGATGAGCCTCGAGCTGAAGGAGCAGATCAACACAGAAAGTGTCACTGAGAAGGTACAGCAGAACCAGTTGCTGATATAGATCCACTGCTGCCATCAAGTACAAAGAAAAATAATCAGACAGAAGTGCTGGATGTGTTTCTCAATTCCTAATTTTTGTTTTCTTTTACATACAGTATGTGTGTGAGTTTGACACAAACACTCAAATAATATGGTGAAAGGTTGATGCACTATAGGGCAGCGGTTTCCAACCATTTTCCTTAAGGGAATCCTTTTTTATCATAGACTAAACTGAGTAAGTAACATATTTTATGGATATTTCATATTATATTCAATGCACAACAATAACAGTACACAACAACTGATAAACTGTATAATGAACTTAAATAGTGAACACAATAACTGCAGTAAGTTTGTGCAAAACGAGCGTTCCTGGGAATATACAGAAGTTTTAGGAACTTTCTGTTGAATTAGTATTACGAGCAGTTATTGCATACAGGACGTGTATCGCTGAGGTGTTAAGGCAAAAAACCTCTAAACTATCAGGATGTGGCCTCTCTGCAGTGCCTTTGTTACCACCTCAGCAGTATTGGCGAGGAGCTGGTGACAGCCAAGAGGATCACGGACAAGTACTTCAGCAGAATGATTCAGAGGTAAGCAGTAAGGAAGTACGTCATCCAAAGCTGTACTCTTCCTTTCACTCTTAAACCCCCACTGATGGAGGAAGAGACAAAGAACTTCAGGTTTAAATAACTGACCGCTGAAGAAAGTCAAATATTAAACAAGACAAAAGTTGCTTGACGCAGCTATAAGTTGAGCTGTAAGTAAATCAATGTCAATGTGACCAAACAATTTTTTGTTTTCATGTTTAAGAAAGAGACAGAAAAAAAGAAAAAAGAAAAGAAAAAAGCAGAGATTCAACAAGTGATGTGTTTTAAAAATGTCCTCATCAAATCATACAAATGACAAACTTTTGTTGACGTACTTTGGGTCTGCTGTAAATTCTGCTTATTGAACCAAACTCCTTGACTGACGCCTGATGATGGACTAAACACTAGACAGATGTGTCTGTACTGGATTTTTTTTTTACTGGCAGGTTTTTTATGACAGGCAGTTTGAAGGAAAAAAAAGGAAATTAATTCAAAAAAAGACCTCAAAGAGTTGTCACTTTCAGAATGTCTATTGTGTCTGCTGATGTGTTGAACGCAACCTTCCCCCACCCCTGATACTTGTGGTTTTGCTGCAGCTCATTTAAATTGACAGACACGAAACTTCTGTGACATTTCTACAACAGAGCTACATGAAGGCAGACTGAATACATGGACTCTCACACGTTGAAGAATGATCCTACTCGACTTTCCACTATACCTCATGGAAACTTTGAAACGCCGGGGTTCACTATTTGGATATGTTGTTGTGTTTATGTTTCTAACAACTGTGAGCAAAGGTAAATACACATGGAGATGCTTCATCTTTTCCTTTTTAATTTCCTTAGTGACCTTATGACAGCTTTTGCTTTACTATCAACCACTTATCTTATCTTATCTTATCTTATCTTATCTTATTATATATCCACAGTGCAGATTTAATCAGACATGTGAAAGTGAGAATTTGTTTGCAGTAAAAGTAAAACATCCGCCATAGAGTGTTGGTTAGCTTATCAGCAACATGTGGTTTCTATTAACAGGTCGGTACTGCAAAGCTCTGTGAAATCCTTATTGTGGTGGAAAATGTTTTATCTTATCTGTACACAGATAATCTACCTGTTATCTGTCTATTTTTGTTTTGTTTGGTGCTTCAGTTTGTTTGGCACGATGGGATAATGTAGTAAAGTGCTTCACATTATAACTAAAATAAGGGAAATTAAAAAGAATATAAGCAAGAGGTAAATTTAAAAGTGGATTAACAATAAAAATGTATTTATCATTTATTCCTCGAACAACACAGTAAAATAAATGTTAAAATGTGTTTCTGCTAAGGGTCAGCATGCAATGCTCCTTCCACTCCTCAGTGCTTCGAAAATAAAGCTGACGAGTTTTACATCTGTGAATGGAGCATGAATACGATGGAGAGCAATGTGACGTTTGACCTTTACATCAAGTGAGTACTGTTCTGTGTTTGAGCTGCAATATCTGAAAATGTCGACATCTAATCAACCAATAAGTTGTTGCTGTAACAAATACTACACACAGTTGTAACAAACGTCTATTAGTGTGCAAATAAAGTGGTTGTCTCCCACTTCACTTTATTCTGCATTCTAGAGGAGATCACAAAGTTTCCAAAGATACCAAATATGTATATATATATTAGAGAGATGTGTCTAAAATTATGCAACAGATATCTAGAATAGTTACAGAATCTTATGTTTTGAGTATATTACTCAGTTTCACTTATAGTAAAAGCTTATTAAAGTGTTGAAACAAGATTTCAAAATAAAATATACAAGACACCGTCTGAGAGAATAAGCTGATTTTAAAGGAAAAGTTGAGTTAGATGAGTGAATTGAAGAAAAGAAGACGGAAGTTGCAGCCTTGGCTTCACTGCACTCAAAGCTCTACATATTCATCCACAGAAAAAAAAGATTTAGGAACATTAAGACGACCTGGTCAAAGGTCCACAGGGATCAGCTTAACCTGTTTGCTCCTGTTGACCTTTGGGTGGAAGCTCACGTAGGAAACTCCAGCTGTACGTCAACCAAGAAGTCGGTTATACTGTCGAACACAGGTACTGAATGCTCCTATCATTTTATTCAATTAAAACACTCTATTGATATTTTTAAACAAGTTAACTGAGGCTGTTCCAGTTTTTACTGTAATGTTATGGTGAAAAAATCCTACAGATAAATATTTTGCTTTTTTAACAGTTAAATATGAAGCACCACAAAAAATTTCCATGTCCTGGTTAAAAAACGACCTCAAAGTAAGATGGACAGCAGTAGAGAAGCATCCAGCTTTAGCCGATGTCCGGTTCCGACGACATGATGAACACTGCACAGAATTATGGGAGAACGTGAGGCAAATTGTGTTACCAATTTTACTTAATCTGAAGCTGTTTTTCTACATTAATTAACCTTTTATCCGTATTGCTGTTTCTTGCAGAGAACAACAAACACCACCGTTGAGTCTTCTATGTGTGAGTAGTCTTTTATATCTTTGTAATTGAAGTCCTTTAAATGGAAACTTCATTCAGCTTTGTTTATTTGTTTATTTGTTATATTTGTTCCGTGCTTCCTGGGAATCTATCTCTGAGACACACTGAATTGGTTTTTGCTTGTTTTTCTCATATTTACAGCCAACAATATGTTTTTAGACTTGTTTCTTGACAACTGTACATTAGTTCTGCTACTGCTGAGACATGCTGTGGCCGCAAGCCCCATTCCTTCCTGCTGAAGATGTAAATGTCACAATCATGCAGTTTCATGCGGCTGCATAATGCGAATATTTACAGCAGCAGGACAGTGAATGAGGCCAACGGCATTCAGTGGCACTGAGGAATAAGATATATGAGGTTTTACAATATTAATAGGTTTAATTCATTGTAAGCTTTTGTCTTTTCATGTAATCTGTTGACAATTTGTCAAATGTAGAATATTTACAGGCTTATAGGAAAAACTTTCAAATGTCATATTTATTAAATTTCTCTCTTTGTTCTTTTTATCTGAACAGACCAGGTTATTGTTCCGAATCTGTCAAAGCATTCAGCTTACCAGGTTCAAATCAGACATCGGTCCACTCAGGCCCATAACCCGCTGTGGAGCAACTGGTCTCCAGTTGTGATGGTTCCCGCAGGTGAAGTCAGAGATTTCATGGTGAATTGGTTAGCACTTTGGACCATAGTCCTGATTAAAACAATATGCATTTAATGATTAACATGATGATTAACATCATTAGACACAAAAAGTAAATGTTTAATCATTTTAAAACTGCACAAATGTAAAAGGCCAGTTAATTTACAAGCAAACAGAGAAGAGCATCAAACCAACAGTGACTGATTCTCCCTATGTATGATTATTGGCCTGAAATTATCTGTGCACATTGGATAATACATAGATCCATCTTCTTAATGCTTTTAAGTGACATGTTTAAGATTTATTCCACTCTAAAAAAACATTTATTTTGTCGTAATGTAAGAAAAAAGTGAGACTAGGTTCAAAATTATTCAACACAACTGTCCATTAATATGTTGTGTTTTTACTGCAGAGCTTGAACAAATGCCTGGAGTCACTGTGACAACAACACTTATAAATGGCACGCGAAAGGTGACGATAACGTGGAAGGTAAGCCGGCACTACACGTTAAAATGTACTTTTCACCAGCACACCATCTACTGTCAACTTTGTAATATTACACAAGAATTTTAGCACCAGGTTTTTTTCTCTCCAGTGTTTGCTGATACCTGAAGGTCTATTAGAGACAATAATTACTACTACTTCTACTCCTACAGTGCTACTATTACTATTACTACTATCTGTAGTACAGCTCGCTGCCTCTACACACAGCTGAATCCTCGTCTTAAAAAATCTTAAATTGCATCTTAAAATCTGGTAATGGTAACATTACCAAAAACCTACAGGTAGAGTGTAAATAATATATAATATCTTATGATATATTAAAATACGGCCAATAAGGCAACCAGTATAAACAATTTCGTGCAGATAATTTCATGAGAACTGTTGAATTCACTGGAAGCAGTGTGCATACCTTTTTAAAATCTAACAGAAAATGTCCCCACTGACTTACAGCAGTTTTAAAATTACACTGATTCTACACAAAAATCTTTAATACAAACCTTCAATATCACTAGTTCAAGTAACCTGGTACATATACTGCACTTTTAGCTCTAAGTGTGTGTCATTCTGGAGTTTCTACCACTTTGTCTTTCCTTCTTGGACTTTTCTTTTTCTGATTTACCTGTGTTGTCTGAACTGAGGTCTCTTCTGCTTTTCAGCCAATGCCACAGGCCGCATTTGTCGCAGGAGTGAATTACACCCTGAAAAACACGCAGTCTTCTCATGGATGTCCTTGTGTGGAAAAGACACATCACTTCAAATGGAATAAATACACTACTTATGTCTCCTACTCTGCTGCCAACATCTCTGTTATTGCCAGAAACGCAGCAGGGTATTCTCCTCCAGCAATCATACAAGTACCAGCCGTACCTGCTGCGGATTTAAAAAGTATGTGTGTGTGTGTGTGTGTGCTTGAGTGTGTCACATATTATGTATATTTATCCTGAAGTAGACCTTAAAGACTGTTATTTCTTTCTCCCCTGGCAGGTTGTGATAAAACATTACTGGATAAAAAATTAAATAAGCGAACTTGCCTTGAGTTGTATGACTTTCAGGATGGAGATTCAAGGTCAGAAAATGTAATCACTTTAACAGGAAGGAAGAAAAAAAAAGAAAGGGTGAAAGTAAGAGAAAGTAAGTTGAATTTAAAGTGCTTCTAACCAGACGACCTTATTTAATGTTTGTTGACTGTTTCAACACATACAGGTGTAAAAACATTATTTGCAGTGTTGTTTCATTCTCCCAATTATGAGAGTAATAAAATAGGTCACATTGCAAACCAAAACCAAACACAGGGGAAATTCTGCTGAATTTATATGCACACCAGACATATCCGTTTGGTCTCCAGCAAATTGTTTCACAAACTATTTCGTGTTGACTGTAGACAGACACTTGTATTAGAACTATTTTCCGTGTGGGAAAACTATAAATCTGAGTCTAAGTCTGACTTCCTGTTTCTGTTACAGCCATGAAGGACTACGTTCGCTACCTTTACTTTGAACACAGATGTGATGGTAGAAAGCCACAGACAGTTAAAATGTGCCTCTTTTATCAAAAGGAGGGTGGTAAGTGTCTTAATACTCACCACACTTAGAGCACACTGGACTTTTAATGAGATGAGTTATGGTGCTGACACTGAATCAGGATTATAGAGTACAGCTAAGTTTGTCTTCTCCTACTGTAAAATAAACCATTTTTTATCATGTTTTCCCCTGGTTCTCCTTCAGTTCCACTCAGAGAACCTCAGGACTTCACTCCTTCTAGTGAAACAGATCATTCTGTCGACCTGTCTTGGAAAGCCATTTCCTCTGTGGACCAGCGAGGTTTTCTCACACACTATAGCCTCTGCAGAGTGAAAATCAGCTCACAGGATGAGCCCAAAGGTGTGAAATCACTCCTTTACTCATCTGTAGTTTTTTGCAAAACCAAAGATCCAGTGTGAAACATTTAGGAGGATCTATTGACAATTTTCAATCGTGTATAATCACCTGAATATGGGGATTTTTGTGTTTTTGTTACAAGAATGAGCCATTTTGCCTTTATTGTAAAATATTTCTGTTGATATTTGATAACTTTCACTTACAGTAAAAAAAAAAATTACCTACATTTCTTTACGTTTTTTCCACATCTCCTTTTATCAGACTGCCAAAACATATCAGCTTTACTGATGAATCACCATCTGGAAAACTTGACACCGGGAACGGAAATACAACATCAGCCCTGGCCTTTTGAGTCACAACGAGTGGGAGAAGGACCTGGCGAGCCACAATAACACCATAACACACAGCCAGGAGGAAGCCTGTGAATTTGCGTACCACTTACAGGAATTAAACTCTCATGTTAAAACTTGCTTTAAATACAAGTCAATTGGAGATTTCTTCTTACCACTTTGTGGATGCCCTAACAAAACTTTTTCCCCCCCTGAGATTTAGTGTTTGTGGAGTCTTCTCTTTCTGTTTGGGTTCTTTTTCATCTCAACAACGTGCACCTTTATCTTAAAGAGGTAGGTGACGCCCCTTCTGTCTCATCTGATTCAACACTAATTACACTTTATGTATAGCCATCATAATATCTTTAAAATTGCTCTGATGGCTTAAGTTTTTGTTTGTATAAAGATGAAACACTCATGATGAACATTAGAGTAGACTATGCGTTGCTTTTATTCTGTGTCTGAATAGAGTTGCCGTTTTATCTGCAACGTCTAAAATCAGCTGTTCATCACGGATGGCCTTAACAGTTTCTACTCTGTTTTAATACTTAGAATCAAAAACAAGATCTTCCCTCCTGTGCCGATACCTGTTATTCAAGCTTTCACCCACTTTCAACCAGAGAGTCAGGTAAGGACACCCAGGCCACCACATCCTAGAAGATAAACCCTAATGATGTTGGTGATCCCTCGACTTTTACCTCTAGTGCCACTATAAGGTGTTTTAGATGAAATGTCTCAACAACTCTTGGATGGATTGACATTTTGTACAGACATGTCTAGATGAAGATAAATTGTATTTACGATGGTGATCCCTTGATTGTTCATGCACGTGCTGCCATCGTCTGGTCAAAAATTTAATTTTTCCAATTGTTTGGTTTATAAATACCTGAGGTTCCCATCAGCTTCAGCTGTACTTTGTGTTTTGTGGTGTTGAACACGGTAAGCATTACACCTGCTAAACATCAGTATTGTAAGTTGTCACTGCGAGCATTTAACTCACCCATCTGTGCCTATAAGCGCAGCCTCAGAGAGCTGCTATGTAGCACGTTTTTTGTTTTATGTTAATTTTTTTTTAAACCTTTAAGCACTTTTATTTTATATACGGCAATCAAAGAGGCCAGCAAGCGAAGAATTTCTATGCATGACAATGAAGTTTTAAGTCTTTGAATCTTACTGCCCTCTGTTAATGTGACCTACAACAGGAAATGCTGGAGAGAAAGGAGGAGGTGCATGAGCTGACACTTTACAAGCTACATCCAGAGCGCAAGTCTCTCGCCGAGGATGCAGAGGAAACCACTGTCTTTAGAGGAGAGTGGGATGATGGCACCGACGAGGACGCGGACGATGAGAGGGGTGATTCAAGCATGTCAGGAGGAAGCAGCGATGAGTGTTTGAGTACAGATCAGGCACTGAGGGGCTCCAAAAAAGGGGAAATATCAAATCTGGATGAGGTGGACAATGAGATCGCCATGCTGATATACAGGACTGGTTTGGTCTTTGACGTGAAGCCTTAAACTGGATTCAACCAAAGAGTTTTACTGCCTCACAGCCCAAAACTGCACAAACATTTGAAGGGCTAACATATTTGCTGGATTACACTTTTCTAATAGTTTTATTGTGTTTAACATTTATTGTCTTTTTATGATGAAGAATCTGAGGAATCACAGTGTTATAAGAATTGTGTTGAATGTTGAATTTTGCCAGTAACATTACATCACATGAGGACATCAGTATAAGTACCAGTGTAAACCACCCATAGGATTTTCTTTATGCTAACGTATCTCCTCGTGTCTCTCACCTTTCCTTGCCTCTTAGCTCCTCCCAGTAAGAATGTGATGCGAGAACAGAGGAGGCGAAGCTGGCCAATGAGAAATCCTTGGTTTAATAGCATCAGTCTTAAGCAATGGCAGTTATTTATCACATGCTGCACAGCTGTATCACCTCTCAAACCGACTGGTACGAATGTTCAGAGAACCCTTTATTTAAGAACAATTTCAAAACCTCACAGTATTCATTTAAATATGTAAATAGTTTAACAGAGCTGATTATTATTTAGTAGTATTACTGTTGTTAATATTCCTTTTAAATCTTCTAATTTATGTCTTTAAGTCTTATTTGTTATGATTACATTGGCTATTTATTAACTTTCATTTTTTATCTGCACAATAATACACCACATAAGAATGTGTTTATGTTGATTATACTGTAAAATAAAAAGAGAAAGAGGCACCACAGGTCAGGTTTTTGGGGCTATGAGAGCATACCTCTTACATCTACCATTCGGAACCTGGACTTCCTGGGGCACCCTGGCGGTTATAATGTTATGCAGCCCCCATACCAACAAACTGATGCACTGTGTGTTCAGAAACCAGCATTAACTTTTCAGCAGTTTGAGCTGCAGTAGTTCATCTGTTCGATTGGTCCGCACAGGCCAGCCTTCACTGGAGCTGCAGTTTGGAGATGCTCTGACCCAGTCGTCTAGCAATCACAGTTTGGCCCTCGTCAAAGTCGCTCAAATCCTCACGCTGCCACCTTTTCCTGCTTCTAACACATCAACTTGAGGACAAAATGTTCACTTGCTGCCTAATATATCCCACCCACTGACAGGTGCCATGATAACCAGATAATCAGTGTTATTCACTTCAACCTGTCAGTGGTCATAATGTTATGGCTGATCAATGTATGACTGTATCCGCTTTGAGTCCACCATTACAAATTTGGTGCCATTTGGCCAATAGGTGGCGCTGCAGCAGCGTCGTCGTACTATAAAGGAAGGAATGTTTGTCTTTCTGTCAAAAACCATTCATCCGACCAACTTCACACTTGGTGGGTGTATTGCTGAGGACTGAAAGAAGTGCAGAGTTGAGTGTGTAGCAGAGATGCTCACAAGTCACTTTTTGCATTATCTGCTGCCTGCAATTCGGAACGCTTAGAGCCCTTCATAGCTATATCGAAGGAATTCAAAGCATGGTCCACTGTATTATCATGACTCCTTCGTCTATTAGTGTACTGTACCAGCTTTCATTCATTGTTTGGTATGTTTGGCAATGTATTATGAAAAAAACACATAATGAAAGTAGTGCTGGGCGATATGGCATAAAGAAAAATTCACACCACACCACTGATTTATGATTTTAATATGGTGTGGTTTTTTTTTTAACATTTGAACGGAAGTCATCTTTTCAAAATGAAAGCGCAAGTGATTTGGTATGAAACTGATAAAACGGAAATGGGAAAAGAATGAGGATGTAAGACGAGGAGGAGTTACAGGAGAATTTCAAAGACCACAACACAAGCTGAGAGGATAAAAATGGATTGGATGTTTTTTGCAACAGATGACAAACATTGACATGCACAGAGATTTATTTGAGATTAGAGGAAATCCCTAAGTGCTTCTCTTATCCCAATCATATGTTATGTCTAAAATCAGTTTCAGCAGACCAAAAAAAAAAAAAAAACTATATAGCTACCTGCTGTTTTGAAAGATTTACTTCAGTAGGAAGCAAATCTACAAGAGAGGACACAGACGGACTGACGCTTTAAATAACTGACTGGAGAAGAAAGTCAAATATCAAGCAAGTTTCAGTAGCTTGAAGCAGCTATAAGCTGAGCTGTAAGTAAAAGTAATGCCAATGTGATCAACAATATGGTAACATGTTCAAGACAGAGACCAAAAAGAGCAGAGATTCAACAAGTGAGGTGTTTTAAATGTCCTTACCACATAATAAAAATGCTGAAAAGTCCAAACTGAAGTTGAAGTTGAAGTACTTTGAGTCCTTACTCCACTTATTACCCTGCTGAACCAAACTCCTTGACTGACGCCCCTCTTCTATCATGATGATGGACTAAACACTAGACAGATGTGTCCTTCATGGTTTTCTTTTACAGGCAGTTTGAAGAGAACAAAAAACTGTTGTAAAGAGATTAACTTTTAAAAAACAACAAGAAAATGACTTCAAAGAGTTGTCAGTTTCAGAATGGCTGCTGTGACTGTCAATGTCTTTAACGCAACCTCCCCCCACCCCTGGCACTTGTGGTTTTACTGTAACTCATTAAAACTGAGAGACATGAAACTTCTCTGGCATTTCAGAGAAAGGTAACTGAATTACATGAAGGCAGACTGAATACATGGTCTTTCACACGGTGAAGAATGATCCTTCTAGACTTTCCACTATACCTCATGGAAACTTTG